GTTAGGCTTTTCTCTTTTCTTTTCTTTCTTTCTTTATTTTCGCAGAACCGGCGCACGCGGCATTCTTTCAGTTTTGGCGCCGTTGAAAATAAATTGGACGTTTTTATTTTCGCGCTTTTGTTTATCTTGTAGACGCGCCACTTCATTCGTGGCGACGATCTTTTGAAATGGCGTCGGACGGAATGTTGACAGGGCTCTCGTCTTTATGTACGTTTCATTTGTAGAAAACATTCGTTTTATGCGACAGAAACTTACGAGCTCGGTTGCTCCGGCACGTAAACATCCAAAATTTAAAATTTGCTAAAGTCCTATTATCCACTCCGACTCGTTCAGTTGTGCGATCTGACTGGAATGTCTTCTACGAGATCGGAAGAATTTCATATTTTATATCGAGGCGAATACTCCTTCCATTTGGCTCAAAGCTTGGGCCCGCATCCTTAACACTTTGCTCTTCCTCTAAAAGAAGCAACAAAAAAACAACATGCTTAGCTAAATCCGAACACATACGCAAAGCCATAAAACTGCAAGGTTCGAACGCTAATTAAAAAATGCCAACGACGTGGCATAAAAAGCTGTGAAAAGATGAGAAGAGAGAGAGAGAGATCAAGGGGATGACTTGAAGTGCAAAAAACAAGAAACAAGCGACAAATCGCAGAAAAAGATAAAAACATGAGTAGAGATCACGAAATTGAGCGCAAATAAAAGTGCGGCGAGTGGATCGCGAAGGATGATAAAAGCGAGAAAGAGGAGAGACTCCGCACACACCGGCCTATCTGCCAGTCAGCGTTTCTGCGACGTGGTATATAACGTGCCTTCGGGCCGCATCGATGTATTCCTTCCTTCTTTTCGGAGAGGGCCATGAAAAAGACACTCTCGAAGATTATAATCTTGGAATGTTAAATTGAACTCTGTTGCGGCACGTCTGCGATGCGCATCATCGTAATTTAAGGAAAAATGCAGCTGTCGAAGAAGAAATCGAATTGTCGCGACGCTCTAGCGTTGCCGATGAACGAAGCGCCTGCCGCCAAATTTCGCAATTTATTTATGCAAGCACGACTGCGCGAGTTGTCGCAAGTACGAACCCTTATTTTCTACCAACATTACGCTTCCTACGGCCCCTGCAAAGGCATTTTTTTTTTTTTTTTTCAAGCAACAATAATGCAAAACCCACCTCGTCGTGTCATCTTGTTCATATCCATAGTCGTTGGATCAGCCCAATCGAACAGCAGAAAGAAAACACAAACAGAGCGCACGACACGGTCACACTGCACGTTCGAACCTAACCTCAAAGCTAAAGCACTGCGTGCTCGGAGACGGACGAGAGCGAAAGTTTATGTGTCAAGTCTCGCGCACACTCGCGACTGAAAAGCCCCGCAGTCTCGAAGGGACCAAAACCTTTGACAGTGCGTGAGTGCGTGCAGTGCCCACGGCAGTCGGAGAGAAAAAGGGCGAACGAAAGAGAGAGAGACAGAGAGAGACAGAGAGCGAGAGAGAGAAAGGAATAGAGTCCAGCGGTCGGCTGCACTGTTCGTATGGCACTGCCGCGGTTGCGGCGACTCGGCGTTTTTCCCCCCGCCCCGCGACTACAGTCGAGAACTCGAGCTCTATACGCTGGCATCAACTCGAACAGAATCCCACAAGAGCCGGCAACGGCGCGCACGCCGCGACTCGATAATCTCTCTTTTTCCACGTTCTTGCGATATCTATTCGCCGGCAGTATTTTCACGCGGGCTGCGTTCGAACTGAGCTTTCGCAAGCTTGCCTACGTGCTCTGCAGTTGTTCGTGCAAGTTGCTTTGAGAAAAGGCGTCGTCGTTGTTTCGCAAGCGGTTATCTGTCAAAAAGCATCTGAAGCATTTCGTGCTCTCGTCGGCTTCGAAGTTGAGCCATTACTTCGCGAGCCAACGCTCGAAATTACTCGATCGCAATTAAGCCGTCGAACGAAGAAGCAGGCGCCAGATAAACTTAATCTAATCCAATTGTCGAAGTGTCACATATAGGAATTGCTTGCGCTTGGGCGACAGTTTCGCAAGTTTTTGTGAGGGAGAGACGGGGCGCGAGAATCTGAAAGTCAGACAACGGCAGCGGAGCAGCGGCGGCAAATTGATCGATAAAGTTCGCCACCTCTGACGCGTATGTGTGTACCTTCAGCGTTCACCGAAAGTCGCGCGGCGCGCACTCTCCGTGGCCTTGAAAAAAGCCACAGGAGAAACGGCGGATTTGATGAAAAAGCAATTCCAACTCACCGATCAGTGGGAATATACTCGGTTGATCGAGTAGCGATTTGAGGCTGCTTTCGACGAGGGTTGGAGACGATCTGTCTTTGTCGCTCATACTGGTGCACTTGTATTTTTTTTATTTCACTTTATTGACTGGTCGTGTCCCCCTCACTGATCTATGCACACTTACACACTAATCCATCCGCGCCGACACTAAAGAAATCATCAACGAGATAGAATTTGGAAAAAAAAAGTCGGAGGAAGGGAGAGAGAGAGAGAGAGAGAAGGAGACACACGCACACACAAGACTCGACTCGAAGAAGAATATGCGAGCCGTCGGATGTAAGTCTTGTCGTAATACGGCACAATTCGACGAGCGAGCGTTAAAAGGAAGAGACGACTCGCCGCCAACCGCACCGCACGCACGTGTGATATGTGCAAAGCGAGAACCGTCTGCTCCAAGCAGCGCTCGCGCGAGGGAGGCCCCCTTCGAGCAGCCTACAGCAGAGGAGGTAACACTATCTATACACCGAGCAGCGGACAGCGTCACGATACTACGCTCTTCGTGCTCTCGCTGCGTTGTCCCGTGACCGAGCATTTGCGCCGACACGTACGTGCAGGCGTGTCGCTGTGTGCGTGCGTCGCCCGAGGCTGTGTGTAGTTTCAGGCAGCTCTCGCTCTCGGCGCGCGCGGCCAAATGGATCGGCGGATCACGTGCGTCACATGCGTTCTATAGCTTTCGGACATTTACACACGCAGCGTTTACACCTCACGGGGAAAACTACCACTCGCGGTCCGTTGCTGTCGATCTCCTCAAAGCGAGTGCTCGCGATAGCGCGCTACTGCATGAATTTGAAAAGAGCTCATTGGTGGACGTGGCGCGCTGGATCAGCCCTCATTTTCTTTCGTTTCAAATTGCAAATGGTATTTTTATTTTGCTGCGAGATAATCGTTGTTCGAATGCCCTGCTGGCGCAAAGTTTTAGAACCACTTCAATTATTGATCGAGCAAAGTATAACTCGACGTGCAATTCAAAAGTTTCAAGCTGACTAATTCGAAATTGAAAAAATACAACAGAAACTACATGCGTACAGCGAATGATTAGAATCATTTCGTTTCCGTTTCCATATCTCTCCGCGGATTGTTCAACAAATATTTGCCCGAGATTAAGAGCTCATAAATTCGACTTCATAGCGCGCAAAATGCAGCTTGTCGTTATCTAGCGCCAACCCTATTCAAGTACAATAAAATACAGTCAGCACGTGAAAGAGGAACGGAGCGTGCTCGAGTAGTTAAGACCCTATGATGCGTTAAGCAGTCTAGGAGCCAATCTTGACGAGCAAACGCTCTGACTGTAAGTGACGCCCGCAGACAGAGCAGTCATTTTACACCGGATAGATCTAGTCTAGTATGTGCTCGCGCGGAGGCCGAAGCCCTGGGCCTCTCGTGTGATGAAAATCAATCTCACGCTGGCAGAGCCGGGAATTTCACCAGTGGCGGCATCTCGCGCGAAGTTTGCGTAGCTTGTTATCGCGCGCTTGCGTCGGCTCAACATTCTGCTCCGATGATAATTCAACGTTAAGGCACAGACGATCATATATCATGTGATATATGATTGTGAAATTCTTTTGGAACGAAGTTACTTGTTTATCTATTTACTCAATCGTTTATTATTTACTATTAGGAGAGAAAAATACCGAATAAACTGTGAATTTTCCACGGAAATTCATGCATTATTCTTCCAATAATTAACGAACTTCTTGAGCTTTCACAATAATATTCTCATTAGATTTGCAAAATTTACATAAAAAATAAGGTTGTTCAAATGTTTCAATAAGTTATAATTATAATCTAAAAATATGTTCCCAAAAGCATTTCTTTCCTAATTACTGTCAAAGCTATTCACCACTTACTATATGTGATAACTTTTGAATGAAAAGAGTAAATATTAAAATTAAAAAATGTAGTAAATTTTAAAGCTTATCTTTAATTTAAAATATTTTTATTCATTCTTATAAGGGCATACAAAAATCGTTATTATCTGAAAGATTAATTAAAGGATTTAAGGAATGATATGCTAGAATATCACAAAATGAAATTATGTTTCTTCCATACCGAAACATGGAAAATTATTACAGATGAAGAGAAAAAAATTCTCATATTAATCATATATTTTATTTCCGTTTTATTGCGTATGCAGCTATTGATCGCATATCTCTACATGACTTTTAAATTACCAAAGGGGTAGTTTTTAATGAAAGTGCTGACTGCAACCAAATTTTTTATTCATTATGACGCTACTGCCAATCGAAGAGATACGTACACTCATTTTATAATTTAGTTCAAAGACGAGTAATTATACATTTCACGTAGCATCGGGGAGGAGCGACAACTAGGATCAATGAAAATAAATATTTAAGAGGACCGACATCGCACTTGCGTGTCTATAGCGAAAGATTGACGCAGTCGAGTGAAGTGAAGTTAACTATGTAGTGGTGGCTCGGTTGATGCCAATTTAATACTTTGGCAGTCTGCCTAGAAAATCAAGAAAATCATGGAAATTTTCGACAACCGTTACTTTTACATCAACAAAAGTCTTCTTCGCTGTATCGGCGCTTGGCCTTACGATTCTAAGAGAAAAATTGTGAGGATACTTTGGTTTTCTGTGATCGCCGTAATGAGTATACCTCACGTGAGTTACGTTTACAAATCGTTCTAAAAAGATTCGCCTCTGTAAAAGCAAACATTTTAGTTTATCAGTGTGGTAGTGAATTATGCAGTGCGAGAGAGGCTGCTAGAAAATATAGTCACTATTTTACACGTATTCGTGTTGTTTGCTAAATTATTGACATTAACTTTGCACGAGAAAAAGGTATACAGATTTATACTCGTGAAGTAGAAATTGTACTGATGATTCACATTTTCAAGGTGAGAGTGATGTACGAAATCATAGTAAATAATTGGAAAATTATCGTGGACGAGGAAGAGAAGAAGATACTTATTAATTACTCCGATAGAGGACGATTTTTTACGATTCTTTATTCTCGTAAACTTTTTCCTACTGTTCTAAGTCACATATTCTTCAAATTTACCTTTCATATGAGCCATTATTTTTCAGTATTTTTGACATCAATTTGCATATCATTTGTATTGTTTCCACTGATGCCAGCTACATTACATAAACTGAAAATATTGTCAAGCCATCAACCGCTTATTTTCATTATGAACGGCGAATTCATCGCGGATAGAGAATCTCATTATTGGAAGATTTATTTGTTCGACTGTATGACGTGCCTGACCGTACTGGCTATTTACACTCCAATTGACGGCATGTACAGAGTGTGTGTCGAGCAATGCTTTGCCTTATACTCTATTATCACGTAAGGATAACTGTCTCTTAATTTTTAAAATCGTTTAACAGAGAGTATGTTTTAGACATCGTTTGCTCAAGCCTTATGCCATTTTGAAGGATCAAACAACGCTAGCAGACGAAGTTTCATACAAACGGATATTGCAGATTATCAAGTTGCATAAAAGAACTCTTAGGTTAGTACCTAATATTCCTGTTTTCGTTCTTGAATAATTTTTGACAAAAAAAGAGAGAGAGAGAGAGAGAGAGAGAGAGAGAGAGAGAGAGAGAGAGAGAGCGAGCTTGAAATTATTTTTTTTTTAATATCTTGCAATGTAAAGAGAAATATGATGGTACTTCTTTTTACCTTATAAGGAAATCAAAAGTTAATGTTAGCCAAACTACATGTAACAGTAGTGTTCGCGATATTTTCTTGTTTTATATTATAGTTTTATGATATAAAATATTATGCATTTTTTAAAATAAGACTCATGATCAATTTCATATTTCAGGTTCAATAAATCACTGCAAGAATCATACTCGGCTTGCTTTTTAATGATATTACTAGCAAATGTCGTCGAAATTCCTGTTGGCTGCAATTTGGTTTGAAAAACTAAGTATTGTTTCGATTGTGAACTCTTACTTCTATCATGAATAGTTTATATGAATTATTTCAGTTGTTGATGACTGCGGGTAGTGATTCCATAAACTGTTTTCGTTATTCTACCATTGTAGCTACAATGTTTGCTCATTTATTGTGGGTTTGCTGGCCAGGACAGAAACTCATCGACCACAGTAGTCGACTTTCCTTTGATGCGTAAGCTTATGCCGTTCAATATCTATGATAAGAAATATTCAAATGGATAATTTTTATAGTTATTCTAGCGAGTGGTATCGATTTGCAAAACGATCGCGTACCTTGCTCAGGATCTTCATGCTTCGATGCACGGAACCTGTTTGCATTACTGCCGGCGGACTAGTCGATATAAACATGGCGAATTATGCCTCGGTAATTTTTGGATTGTTCAATTGTTCAAATTTACATGAAACGAACCAATTTCTATTTTAGACTGTGCGAAAAGCTTTATCATATACGGCGGCAGTATCGTCGTTCCAATAAAATTTTCCATGTATCGTTTGGATTTATAGTATTTCAAAATCAAGCTATATTTTTTTGGAAATTGTAGTCTTAATTCATAATAATTGTAACGTAAGATATCAGATAAATAAATAAACTAATAATAATAATTTAATAAGATGGGACATGAAAAGAACAAGTCACATTTTATAGAAGAAACCGATGTTTTAATCGATGTTTTTTAATTTACAATACATTCAGTATTTTACTTATAATTTAATAATTAAAGAAAAGAATGCACTTCGAATCTTGTATGCTAACCAAGATAATAATGAAAAAATAAAAAGAATTATACGATCAGTTAAAAATAAGTATGAGGATAAGCAAAAAAAAGATTACAAGTTATTGGCATGATGATACAAACAAAGACTAATAAAACATGCACACAAAATTAATAGACTCATACATCTGTCGATAAATGCGAGTTTTTAAGTTGATTCATATAAACAATCGATAGCAACTAAAAAAAATAAAATGTAATTTTGATTGGTATAGCATTTTTCGGTGTTAAAATGAAATAATAGTTACCGATCAACTTAACCTGAAAGTTAACTAGTGACATACAAGTTTTATCTAAAATATTCTCATTTTTTAACATCATGAAATTGCTGGCAAAAAATTTGTCGAAAATAGTTTCATTTATTTTTACCATCTACCTTATCTATGTAAAACCCGCTAAGACTTGCTTCGTTACGTTTACACATTTTCTGTGCGAACGGTATATTTCAATATTATTTATTCATATAGGCAACACACAAATTACTCATAATCTATTCAGACGCTTACGAAGAATCTTAGAATTTGACAAAAATGACTTTGTTCCACATATAGTTTTGCGAAATACAAATGCCATATAAATATTTTATCGGTTATTTGTGACAGCTCTGTTTAAATGTCAAAACAGATTAAACAATTTTTTTTATAAAAGACGCAGAACAATGCGATATAATAAGTTTGCCATTAACACGATATTGTTCATACAGTTTTAAATTCTTATACTACAATCAAGCGATAATAATACGGTAATTCATACAAATAGCACATGCATCAATCTACTACTATTTACAACGTTTTTTCCCAGCTTTAACGGAGTTACTTTGCATTTAAATAATTTTACCAAAAAAACAAATGCAATCTGTATTTAAATATCTCCGCTCAAACATACTAATAAAAAATACTTGAGAATAATTATCAAACTTTCTTCTACAGATTGCATTTGTCGTTAAAATCTTAAACTCCTATGCTGATACAATAATCCTATCTAAAAGTCTACTTTACCGACTATCCACTTTTAATAATGCACTTCCGCTTTTTTTCTTGATGAAACTCAAACTAAGCGTATACATTAATCCTGCGAATGTATAAATTGACTCTCATCGAAGAAAAAAATTCAGTCATCATAAGCTTACGTATCATTCATACATATAATACTACATCATACAAATACACGATGCTTTTACACCCAAACGCTATATGATTTGGTACCGTTGGGTGTACCATTAGCGAAACTGCCACTGAGTCGCTTTAAAAGCGCATGACACTCGGCAGGTGTTGAGGACCAACGTCGATGGCGAACTGTTTCGATTGGCACTTCTGGTAGGCCAACTTCAGTGTGGCAGCCGCCTTTTATGGGCGGCGGAGTATTAGGCACGGGAATTTGCGGTAAGCCAACTTCTTGAAAGGACGACAGTGACGAGAAACCGCTCTCGCCTTCTGCACTGCACACACTCGTCGATGTCTTTGGCCGAGACGTGGTTACTTTTTCGTTAGAGCTGTTAAGTGCCTGAAAAAAGATTTAACCAATTTTAGAAACGACATTCGTCAATGCAAACAGCTCAAAAGATATGTAGAATGCTCACCAAATCCCGAAGCAACTTGCCATGAAGATCCTTCCCATCGTGTTTCTTGATCCTCTGAGCATTAGGCGTCGAGCTAAGTGGCAGTGCGTGACAATATCCATTGCTCTGTAGCCCTTGTTCGCCATTCTCTTGTTTCGCTAAGTCGATCAATGATGCTCTATCCTCGTCTTCGGCATTCTTAGCACAGGCTGAAGCGATGGATTGTCGCCTAACAGCGGGACTGATCGGCACCAGCGTAGTCTGCGACGAAGTTTTCGAGCTGCCGTTGACGGACCCTTTGCGCGAAATCATGCTCTCGTCGATCGCAACTGCTCCTCCTCCTCCGTCGTGCAACGCTGTCGAGTTGACAAAGTTCGCCGGTAGCGAAAGTAGCGACGTTGCGTCCGGCTGTTGGTCGAACAACGCTGAGTCTTGCTGTACATTTACTCGAGCGAGATCGGGCTCGCGCATTACCAATAAGGACTGCACCGTTCGCATCAATCTGAAAACATGGAATAATTATTAAGATCCCAATCTCGTCGATCCTCTTTTAGAGAAATCAAACTTTCGTTAGTCGACAATTGAGACTTGAGCTCGAACTGTGCGTCAAAAATTGACACTTGAAAAGCTCAATTTCTCAGAAAAATATTAATAGCGACATCTTTGAAATGTTTTTCAGCGTTTACCTAAAAGCTTCCTGCGAGAGCTTTTCCGGTGGCTTATCGTCAATATCGACTTCCATCTGTTTCGGCCTCCTGTAAAATGCCTTCTCCTGCCCCTTACTGACATCTTGCGCGCTAACGGCGGCCACTTGTTGCGTGCTTGGACCGTTCGTCCGCGGTGTTGTGCACTGACCGAGGTCGCTTTTTCTACCAACCACCACCGTCCACGTGAGATCTTTGCTTGATCCATTGTTCGATGAAATTTGTGCAACGGATTTGGCACGACCGAAGTGCGATGACGTTGACGAGCTGGAAGACGTGGACGAGGCCGACGATGAGGACGACGACGACGTCGTCGACGAGGCACATGATGAGGCACCTGCCGAGTCCACGTGAACGGTATTGACGCTACGTGAGCGCGGTACTCGTAATTTGTCTTTCGTACTGTTGCGACCAGTGGGTTTTGCGTTGGAGCGCTCGTGCATGATATCGAGACTTTTGCGCACCCGATCCAAGAAACGGACCACTTGTTCCATTACTGAACGAAGCATCTGACGATTGGTTTCGCTCTGTCGGACATAAAACAAGTTAGTTTGTTAGGATTTTTTTTCTGACCGAACTCGATCAATGCTACTTGAATTTTCGTAAAATAGCGTGTTTTTTTAATGTAAAATTTTTCGGTTAAATTAATACTATTAAACGATGTTTTAAGTCGTACCGTATTGAAAACCTTATGCCAACAAAATCTTTTTCAAAGTGATAAACAATAAATCTCTAAAGTTCATTATTTTATATCAGTTTCGTAGTTAGTGAATTAAAATGCAGTATCTTTTTGAAGCATTGAATCGCTGTCTTTTGCCATACACTCAAAACAGATGGCGGTGCGATATTACTTCAGCTGCTCCGAAACGCAGTCGGTAACAGTTGGATCTGCGTTAACCAGCTAGTGCCACGGACTTGTTTGAAGTTTAAAGTAATTTTGGTATTGCATTTTTCACGACTTTTACGGGTAGTAAATTTCAAAAAGACAATACTTATTTTAGAAAATACATAACAAATTTCGTAATTGTTTCTTTTGTATTTTCCCTTGTCGACTCTACTACCAACATCGAACAAGGACGATTTCAACAACATCGGTAATTCAATGGAATAATACTCGATTGCCGCGAGGGTGATCCGGATTTCATTCTCGGCCGATAAACTTCCTTCTATTGTTGCAAAAATTATGCATATTTACGCGTTATAAATATTGTTTTTTCACAAGAGATAGCCGTTATCCATTTTTATATATGCAATTCGATTATTTGGAGTAAAGAAAATGCCGTAAATGGTTTCATCTTAATGGCGCGTTTTTTATTTATAGCGATATTTGAAATTTCGTAATTTTAATAATTACGGATGACGAAGCAACGTCTTGAGAAAATATAATAGTAAAACTTATATATTCCATATCAAAAATTCGATTTTCAATTAACGAACTAGCTTGTTTGTTGAATGAAAACAAAGTTGTGTAATATTTAGTAACTGGTTTCCTAAACATATAGTTGTCTACTGAGTTCCCGTGGTGTCCGACGCATCCTATAAATGAACGAAATTATCGAAAACCTTTGTGATTTATCATAAGCCGTAAGATATAGAATTAAGCGTGCATGACAAAATATTGACATTTGGTAATAGCAAAAAACATAAAGTTAACGACCGAGAAATCTACCCACTTAAGTCTCTTGTGGAGTCTACTGTGGAGGCGGGAGGAAATTTTTGAAATTAAATGCTTTTTACAATCATTAAAATACCTTAAATGATCGAGGCACTGATGAAAATATATCAAAGCTAAATATTCGACGGTAACACGTGCTTCCGAATGCATAAACGCGCTCATTATTAAAATTCAAACAACCGTATAAAAGCACATCGAATCGTCTGAAATCAATCACAGTCGATGTATCTTTAGACCGCGTATGAATATACATCGGATGTTTGTGTGGCGCCGCGGGCAAAGCACACGTAATAAAAACAAAAATGAGAAAAATTCTTCCTAGATCATGCAAATTGCATTCCGCGACGCGAGAAGGAAGAGCAAACCAGTTAATAAATCGCAGAGAAAGACGACCGGAAAAATGTAATATTGTTATCGTGTTTCTTGATACATATTCTTTTTTCGCGAGAAGTCGTTAAAGTTTTCTGGTTTGGCATATAGCGATGCCAAGAAATTCGTCGCTTTGCACGTTTGCTAGTCATACTCGTCGAATAAATGATAGTGATTAACGAAGATCGATCGATCAATAAATCCGAGATTTTCATGCCGCAAGATAATGATTAATATCAGATAGTTATTTTTCAATTACTCGACACTTGGCAATCATTCATTCATCAGAACTATATTCACGTTTTTCTTTATTATTTTAGCATTCTTTCTGCAAAGTTTGAAGTGCATGGAAATTGCATATTAGTAATGTGCTATTTTTTTTATTAACACATTATATAACACATTTTTGAAATTGATGATGATTAAGTGTTTTATAAAGTGTATCACATAGAAAAAAAATTAATCCGTGTCTTTGAAATCAAGCTTTCACGATATCAATTGTAATATGAAAAAAGTCACGTGGAGTTGCGATACTCGGATGTATGACAAAACGCGAAACAAGAGTGAAACCATTATATTCGTGATTTTAACCAAATATTTTGAATGTACTATCAAACGATATTATTTTTTGCTAGTCAGTTGTATTCGAACGAAGAATTACATAGATCTGCATGGTTTTGCCAACTGAAGGTCATTCTCAAAGTAATTTTTTGCGTAGAATTCGAATCCGATCTTAGAATTTGTCCATCACGTCAAATTTTTTAGATAACCTAAGCCAAAGGGTCAGAAAAGCGATTTTTATGGTATACTCGAAATCTCACAACATCACGGAAATTGTTTTTTTCTAAAAACGGAGGAAACCATCCGAAAGATCTACTCTTACCCTTTAAAATCCATTTTCAAAATTTAAGATACCTATTTTTTCATCAAGATATCGTTCATTGAAATCAAGTATTTTAACAATATTGAAACAGCTAATTTCCCGGATACGCACATATGACATATGCAAGGCTATAACACCAGACCCATATACCCTAATTTCCTCAACCCTTTAGCCCTGTAACATGCGACGCTATAATTTCAGACCCTTATGCCCTAATTTTCTGTTTCGAAACTGCTAAAATACTTGATTTTAATCAACGATATCTTGATGAAAAAAACATATCTCAAATCTTAAAAATGAATTTTAAAGAGTAAGAGTAGACCTTTCAGATGGTTTCCTCCGTTTTTAGAAAAAAACAATTTCCGTGATGTTACGGGGCCTGAAATGTATATTTAGATCAGGATATTTAAAAAATGACAAATTCTAACTTAGGACTCAAACTCTACGCAAAAAATTATTTCCGACATAATGGACAAATTCTGACTTAGGACTCAAATTCTACGCAAAAAATTATTTCTAAAATGACCCTCGGTAGGCCAACAACAATCACAACTCTTTATTTTGTAAATTTGTGTTACTTAACAATAAAATTACACCATTAATACTTGTCGATCTATTTTCATCGTCGCATAAAATTCTACCGCGAAAACTAATACCACAAGCGATCGAGCGATAACAAATGCTCAAATCAGTCAGGATCAGCATTAGTGCAATGACACGGCAAACCAGAGAAATCAATTACCGAGAGTAAATAAATGTTGTATGTAATAGAAATGCACTAATCGGGCCACCAATTGATAAAAAACAAAGACCCAACCCAACGCAAAAAGAAAAGCCATTAGTCTGCATGCGGGAATTTTTTTATTACCTGCTTGAGCTGCCATTGAAGCGTGGTAACTTGATTCTGAAGGTAGACGTTGTCGATCGCCTTCGTGTGCTCCGTAGGCTTTGACAATGCTACGGCTGCCGTTAGCAACCTCTCGTTGTCTTCCTTCAGTACTTGGCATTTCTTAAACAGAAACAAAAAATATTTGATGAATTTTTTTGTTTTTTCGGTAGGAGCAGCTGAAAAATTTAATTGTCAATAACATAACTCGTTAAACATTAATGAGCTATTTTTAAATCATTGCACGTTGTACTCGGTTTGCAAATGTTGTTTGGATAATTATCTTGAAAAGGAAAGTGTCGCAATCGTTTGATAACACTGACGCCCCGCGACAATGATAATATGCCGCAGATCAAGTGACAGCTACTGTAAATGCTGACTCGACCGCAAGAAGCGGCAAACCATACGTGTTTAGACTAAATTCGACGATTCACATGAACTAACATTGCTTCACACCACTGTTTTTATATAGAATTTTCATCTCGATTCCCTACCATTACGTTTTCGTAATGAATGGCAATGAGAGGAAAAGGAAAAATTAATTTTGCAGGATAAGAACTTCACGATTTCTAATCTCGTAAATTGAGATTAACGAAGCTCCTGGGAAAGGCAGAAAAAAAAACTCATTTGATGAAAGTGCGCGTGGTCATAAAGCACGCAGGACGATTAATTGCACGATTATCGCGCGATGCAGTCGAGGTCGTCTCTCTCCTCTCCGGAAGCTACCTCGTACTCGGAGAAGACGAAAGGATCAAGAGCCTCCACGGATTTACTAGCTGCTGTGGCTCTTGTAACTACTCGACGAAAAGGCTGCATCCTTTGAAAAGCTGACAGACTCCTTACTCATCAAGTCAGAGTTTCTTTTCATTGGTCAAGGTTGAGAAGCGAATTCCTTTTTATATATGTTATGGAAGTATTTCATTTGCGATTTTTCGCTGAAAGAGCCGAAGGATGCAGGAATCGAAGGTACAAATATTTTTGTATAGATTTTTTTCTTCAGGAAGGATAAACATTAATTTCATTGACTGTGATAAAAATATTTTGTTAGTTTTGTTGAGATATTTCGATTTATCAAACTCTACATCTGGTATACTTATTTGTTCGTATTTAAGTTTTATGTTAATGATGCAATTAACGAAATGGTTCTGTTTATTAGTTTGTGAGAGCAGCTGCGTGCACTCAGGTAACACCATAAAATTATAAGACTGTACCCTCGTCGTAGTGTTTAGGACTAAGCATCTTCAATTTCTTTGTAATGCGGCGACCATTTTTGTGTACAGGTCATTTTTGCTTCAATATAAATATACGCACTGTCGATGTCTTTAATAAAGTTTTCTTTTACTACCCACCTATTTACTTAAAATTTTAACAAGTTTCCAAGCGAGCAATTATAAAATTTGCGAAGTCGCAGTGTACGATATCGAGTAGTTTTACGGTTATTATATCGGACAATTTCATAGACTCTAAATTTAATTTAGTTGAACTCACGTTATTTGCATATAATTATATTTTATTTATATTGTATTACCGACATTCATTTAGGATTCACTCATTGTATTCAATTTAAGTAATTCTAAGAAAGGCGGTGCCTCGCTGAGTCGTTGAGAGGGTGTCGATTTCTCTCTTTGTAATCTACAGTCCACTCTATTAGCTTACGCGTTTCTCGTGGTCTCCTCATGGATAACATGTGTTACCCCGACGCGACGCGACGGCGCAACTGAGCCACGACCACGTTATCGTGACTATCGCCTATGTTTTGGTTCGACGCTCGTCTCATTTTCCCACTTTCCCTTTTTTTATTGCTTTTAAGATTAAGAGTGACGAGCCCTCGACGAGCTTGTACTCTCTCAGTTGTACCCTCTGTCAATTCATGAAATAAAACCTGATCATTCTGTCTTAAAATTCATAAATTTTTCCCATCAAATCACTTTTCGTACTGAATTAATTTTCATACGGAAAGCACAGTCATTGTGCCAAAGAAACACGCAGAATGCTGTAATTGCCAGCTTTATTTTGCGTTATATGCAAAAACAATCATAAATGCATGTTTATTGTTTGGAAAATCGCGCGAGAGCTTAAAAATTCTATGTATTCTTATTCTTTGCTAAACGCGCGCACAGGACTGTTAATCATGCGAAAATAGAACAAAGATCATTGTGTTTACGACGGGTGTCTATGAATTTATTGCTAAGAAGCCTATAAAATTATTGCACCCGCGCGCGAGCTCTCGAGCTATTTGCATATGAGAACGAGGCATTAAAATAGCGTTATACACACGCCGCCTTTATATCCTATATAATGCGCGCGCACGCGCGCGCGTGCGCCCACACTTATGACAATTTTCGCTTTTTGGTTGCGAGATGGATTACGGCAATAGAACTTTAATAACACGTTGCTAGTCCAGCATTATAAATAGCTACAATCCAGTGCGAGAGAGAGAGAGAGCCCAGAGAGTTTCCGAGACGTGTGCCCAAAAATAACGCTTTTTTGTTTTGGGTTCGGGCAGAGTCTCGAAAAAACAAACTTTTCTTTTAATCGCGTCTTGCGCTTGCTTATTCAATGGAATGCTGACAATCGCGCCTTGCTTATTTTCAGTCGATCGAATAGTACGCTGATACCAAATAATCATTTATTTTCAGTGCCTTAACAAGTCGCGGTTGTTAAAATCAAATTGGGCACACGGCGTTATTGCAAACGAAATTACTTTAAAAATTACTGTATTTTTCGCTGCGTTCAAATACGGCCAGACAGTTGAACGAATTTCAAGAGTTTCGGACCGTAGAGAACGGAATTGCCACGCGCATATTAAACCTTTCGCGCTATTCAAAACTGCACGCACCTACAGTAGTTATACGTCTGACGGAAAATTGAATATTTGAACTGTGCATCAAGCAATACTTCTTGTAGAGCGCGATTTTATACTTCTTTTAATTCCCGGGCATCGTCAATGTCATATTATAGAAATATAACAGTTTTTACGAGAATAGTCGGTAATTTGAGTCACGTTTATAATAGTCGAAGAGTTTTAAACGCCAATTTGTTGTTCTTTATTTATTTATTTTTTTTTTTTTTGAGCAAAATTATCTTTATAGTTCGATGCTAATTTACAAACATGAGAGCTTGAATTTCACAAAGTGAGAAGGAATTGTTGTTAGATTATACGGTTATTTAAATTGTCACCAGAGTTAAATTAGAATTATTATTCATATCGATGAGATGAGAGAGCGAATAACCAAACGAACGGCAGCAAAGATTATGAAAGGAAAACGCGCGCGAAAGTCACAGTGGCCGATTCGCAAGGAGAGAGAAGCTGCCCGCAGCAGCTGCAGCACTAAAACTCATTGACACGTCCTCTTAACACAGCCATTACAGCGGCGCTGCAAGTTGTTTTCATGTTGAAATATAAACGCGAAGGAGCCGCCGCCGCTGCCGCCACCGCCTCATTCCATCGCTGGTCGGCTCGTTCTCACGCGCGCAAGGACGATGGCTTTTTCCGCGAAAATCGCTTTCCGCAGAAGGCATTTTCGCGCTTCGCTTACCCCCGGCCTCCTCGGGGCTAGCTACACACCTACACAACAATGTAAATGCATCAGGCATCGAGTGACATCGGCGAGATACATACCGATGGCCGTTCATTCGATCAATTAACTGGCTGTTTTTGCCAACTGGAGAAGCCGAGCGCTGGCTTATCTGCCATCCTCACGCCTGAGAAAATTGCTCGCGCTAATCCCGACGCGCCAATTATTCATTATTCATATCGATGAGATTCCAAGCGGATCATTTGTCAGCAAAACATTTGCTGATTTCAACGAGCAATTTCACTTTCACCAAAATTCAATTCTAAACGCCGCGATATTTATAACTGAAAACAATTTCTTATTTGTGTGATCGCCGATGATTGATTGCGAATTTAAGGTGATACGCGTTATTAAAGTCTTAATAGGATACCCATAGACATTGACAAGTCGCGCTATAAATTTGCATTACGTTAACTGCCAATTTTCTTTGTTTTCATATTAAATAAGCGCGACAGCAGCAATAATCTGTTGTGATATTTAACAATTTATAACGAATCGTAAACGGTCTACTGAAAACAATTACGAAAGAAAAAAGAGGTGTCGTCGATAACGAAGCACTCGATCATGACTAATTATAACGCGAAGAATCTCAAGTACTACGAGAAGAAGAAAAAAAAGATGAATGGCGCCTCTGGAAGATTCCTGTAGGCGCCACTAATATACATGCGGCGCCAAGTGAAAGGTCTTTTGTTCGATGCACGCTCTCCCAAGCGCATACTTTATGGATCGACAATCACTGTGTTTAGTCATTTCGGTGGCTGGCATCTTATGCAAATCGGCTTACAAAATGACGAAGTGGCGAGTTGTTAATGAAGAGTTAAGAATGATTTGACACCTTTCGGCTTTACATCGATTTTATGATTGACATGTCGGTGAAAGTGTATCGACGTTACGTCACACGTCAAGTAACCGGAAGATTTTCGGATGGCGATGACTGATGGACTTCCTGCTGCTGGATATATCTACCAACGAGGAAAACTGAGGTGAAATCGACTTGGAGTTATTGCGTTTTTTGCGCGGCCTTGAATGAAACGAAAAATTGGTAGTTTACACGCGTTTGCAGCTTCCTATTCGGAATATTGCATATTCTGTTTTTCGCATCGTGCATCTTTGTGTTGTACTTATGGAAAAAAAAAAATTCTTTCAGTGATGAGTCTTGAAATTTTCATCGCTGCATCAAGAAACTTTTATGCTAAGCAGTTTTTCAATACCTCGATATACCGTCATACAATTTAATCTTAAATAAGTGACTTTTACTTCTTTGAAAAATAAAAGATTTACTTTCAAAATCTGAAATAGTAAGATTTATGAATGAAAGAGTGGGGTGTATGTAAATGAACGCCCATGAACAGTTTCACTTGAAAGAGTGTTTTTTGTTTATTAAGCATTATGGCACTTTCGCGGCAACGGCAGCTTCACTTGTTCGGTAATTAAATCAGCTCCGGGGCGCAAACCTCTACACACATACACACACAGAGACGTACGCACGTCGTTTATTTCCATACAATGCACGGGAAAGGAAGGAAGCCCATATACATAGCCCAG